CCCAGGAGACGAGCAATAACACATCATTTTTCAATAACATATATTTTCAGCAATATAAAACAAACTATAGTAAGAGAGAACCATTCCCAACATACCTATAGATGTTACTGCTTTTTAGGTGGAGACCAACAAAGCACTCTTGTTCCTTGTAACTCCTCTCCTTAACACCTGGATTGAGTTAAGAGGTCAGCAGGTTAATTTGTGATTAGGGAAGATGAACTCCAGCTGGCGTTACCAGATTTTACCAGTTTGGTGAAGTTACCAGTGTCCAATGGTAATGACTGATGAAGAGAGAAATTTTATAGCCAGAAAACGGGGCTACAACAGGGAGTGGCTATTCGTTACAAATTATTGGGAAAGAAGGGTAAATACCAGAAACAGGAAAAAAATAATTATGTGATTTAAATTAAGATAGTGTTAAGAAATAGTAAAGTTGAGCTAGCCGAGGCTAACACAGGCTAGACATCAGATAGTTTCCTGTTAAATGTTTTGAAACGTATCATTAAGAATGCCTCAGTCTTCCAAAAGTTGGCAATTTCTTTTGCTTTGAGAAAAAGTGCAGTTTTGAATTCTTTCTTGAAGAATTGCTAGTTAGCTTCAACAAAAAGCTTTTGTAATCTAATCTCCAGTCCTGCTTGAAATGAAGCAAAATGCACTTCTAGGTATACCTGAACTAAGATATACGAATGAATATGAATGAAGATATAATTCATCCCTAGACAGAAAGGATTGCAGAGCTACAGTCAGGGAAAAGTAAAAATAAACATCTCCAATTGATAGCTATGAAAATCCCTACTAACCTTTGGAAATCCAACTGAAAAGAGATTTGTTTGCACCTCACCAAGTACCTAGCAGTTACTACGAGCTGAAGAGTTTAATGTCTCCACTGCAGCATCTCCTGGTCTTTGTTAGCAGCATTCCTGGTTGGATTGTTAATGCTTCCTATCCTTTAGCCTTGGGAAAGTTAAAGCACAAAGCGATTCACATCAAAAGGCTGAAGCTGCCACAAAGCAAGGACTGCACTGCTCGGGTATCCCTTACCTGCGTTAGGCTGATAGTTAGAACTTGGTACTCCTATAGTACCTTCCACGGAGAGCAGTGCTCATCAACCATGCCCAAACCACACAGAAAATTGCAAGAACTACAGAGGTCCTGTGGTATTCTGCAACCACATTTCAGAAGACTTTTTGTGACAAACTTTCATTAAGAACACTCAGCTGGACTTTCTGTGTAGACAAAGCCCTTCATTGCAGCCTGGTCTCTTTAGACTGCAGAGGTCACTAGAACAGTCAATGTACTAATTGCAGGTAGCAAATGAAAATGATGGATAAACATTTACCAGTATGATGTAGTAAATATTAATGTGAATACTTAGATATTTAGGGTAGCAACTTGAATGCATCTGAGCCTGATTTCTCCATAGATATTTCATCATGTCCATTTTTATAAATTTTTAGAAAATGTTTAAAGGATCAAAGGAACATTTCACAGGGCTGCCTTTTTTTTTATTTTTTTAAATGTGTGTGAACGTTTCCAGAGGATGTAAGACTAAAAGCAGCTGCTGATTTCAGGCCATCACATGGGCACTGGGTAGCAGTGCCTGGCCTGGCGGGCAGCCATCACCCCACCCTCGGTGCTCCCTCCACCTTTACCTTCTCCAGCAGCAGCAGCAGCACGTTCTGGAGCTCTATCTCAGAGGAATCTTTGTGCTGGCTCAATCCATCCCATCCAGCCCCAGGTTTTTTCCCAGTGCATGATGCTTTGTTTAAAACGTCCACGAATAATGAACATAATTCAGTCTTCCACTGGTTATGAATGCACCTTACAGTTCTTTTCGCTCTGGGGCTCCAGACACATTATATCCAGCCACTTCTTCCAGGAAACAAATCACTGGCACACCTGTTTCCTACCACATTTCTCCTAAATAACAAGGGCCCGGTCTCCCTTGCAGTGGACTCAGCAGGTGACCACGGACTCGGCTGCAAACCGGACTATGAGCAACCCCAGTTTGCCGCAGTGTCCGACGGAAGGGGAGGCTGTGCCTTTGCAGAAAGCTGTCCTGGTGATGCTCTGCTTGCTCGCCACTTTTCTGCCAGCCTGGCCACAGGATTTCTGCCTGCCAGGATTGACGAGGCCAGTCACAAAATGCCAGAGGAGTTAACCTGCCCTGAGAGAGTGGTTTGGTGTTTCAGCTGACGAGGCCTCTGATGGCAGCTCAGACTCCTCTGCTTGACTCAGCCGGCAGCTCCACAAGAGAGGATGTCACCATCGGGATCACACAGGCAGCAGAACGCAGACAGGAAGAGTCAACATGAAAGCCAGTAAATTCGGTGGCACCAGAGGGCTCCAGCACTGCCTCCGTGCCTCTGCCACTGTGGTCAAGCCTTGCCCCAGCTCTCTGCCCTGTCCCCGCTGCTCCTAGCTCCAGGGCAGGGCACTCTTCCTCCAGAAAATCCCGCTCTGGGCTTGAGGAACCTGCCTCTATTTTGCACTAAGATTTCAGAGACAAAAGACCCCCTCCCCCTTCTCCCCCAGGATCAGGGCTCCTGCCCTGTCTCAGATTACACTTCCACTGGGGAAGGGCTGGCAGAGCAGCAAAGGAGGCACCAGCGCAGAGCACAGGCCAAGTTCTAGCCCTGCCCTGTGCACTGGTCACAGGCACTTGCACAGGTTGTTCCTGTTCTGCAGAGCTCTGCATCCTCTCACCCCGCAAAATCCTTGACGGACAAGGTAAGGGCACAGCTTGCTTTAGAACCCGGTGCTCACAGAGGGATCTGGTGTGCAGTTCACGGTGCTATTTAGGGAATTTTTATAGGTTCTTAAATTCCATGTTGCGTTAGAATAATCTTTTTTTCAACTGTCTTAATTGAAAATAAGACCTAAAGTGGATTAATCTTCCTTTTCTTTAAAGGGTGAAGTAGGTAACAAAATAAATTCACTGCTCAGAAGATCATCTGCACAGCCACTCTTATCAATACTACATATTCTGAGCCACTGCTACCCAGAAGTCACACTATACAAACTCTGCTTTTGTCCATGGATCACCAGTATTGTGCACTGTGTGGTCCCCACAAGTCCCTTTTTGTACTGTCCATCACTACGTGCTCAAATCACAGAAATGAAAATGCTGACTGCACCTTCTTTACAAGCATATTACTGGATCCCATGGATGGTCTGAGAATTTATAGATGTGCTGCCATCCATATGTGTCCCAGTACTAACAGTCACTTATTTTTCCTCTCCTTGTTATAATGTAAACATCACCCCTCCATTCAAAGAAGGAAAAAAAAAGAAGGAAAAAAAGAAAAAAGAAAAAAAAGTTCTTAGTTTGATTTCAGGAAGAACACTAAGACAGAAAAATCAGGTTCAATACTGGTAAGCAGCTAATCTGTATTTTCATCTGTTTAGTCACATTATATATGGCTTTCTCATACCAGAGGGGATACTTGACAAAGGCAGCATTTTCTCTATTTACGAATACCCTGAAGTTGCTTTTGCAAACTCTTTCCCAAGACTTTGCAACTTATAACATGAATGTTCTAACAGTTACATTTAATGTTAATGAAGTGTTCAACTCACCTGAACAGTACTTCGATAAAACAAGGCATGAGGACAGAAGCTGAAAAGGAAAGTCTTTCATGGGAGATGTAGACTGCCCCTTGTGAAACACAGGAGTCCTTCCAGCTGCTTAAGAGAACTTCCACAGCTCTTTGTTTCTTTTTAGTGTCCAAGCTGGAAGTGTAACAAGGCATCTACCCAGTGCGAACCTGATACCTGGAGGGAAAATTGCCTTCTCCTTCAACTCGTGCTCTGCACACATGCACTGCACTGCTTTACAGCAAAGCAGCTTGGTCTGTGACAAGTGTGTCCTTGAGACCAGCACTGCAAGGTACTTCTGTCTCCAGCTGCTCATTTCCACAACACATGTGGCAATTTCTGCTTTTTTAGATCTGATCTGCTGGCAACCATCCAGCCTTGCTGAAAAGGGACTAAAAATGAAGGCTGCAATTCTCCAGCTGTCTCTGTCCCTTGCATGATAAAACAGGAATGTAACTGGATGACCCTGTTTCAGGAAAACTAAAAAGATTTAAACAATACAGGGGAAAAAACCCCACTGAAACTCAAACAAATCCTGTATACTACCAAAAAAGTTGCAACAAAATAATAAAGCAAATTAGTACTTGAAAAATATCTGCTGAAAAGCAGAGTGGGGAGATTTCAGACTGGGATTCTAGAGGTCTTTCCTCCTCCCCACTCTTCACCTCTACCCAGCTGTTTGTGATGAAATGTGAACAGCCACTCAGCCAACAGCATCCCTGCACCTGTGTCCCTCAGCAGGCTGAGGGGAAAATAACCTGGGAATCAACTTCCTATCAGAACACCTGGCATTGGGAATCTGTCATCTTGGCAGGAATCCAGCTCAGGAAATTTCTACAAATAAATATCAAACTGCAGCATGCAACAAACAAATCTACCCAGCAGCATTATTCTGCTGTCCTTTTAAAGAGAAGAATAAAGAGAGCTGAACTAATATTTGACTATATACAACTTGCAACATTAGTAAATCCCTTCTGCAAAGGTACTGATTCTTACATCTACTGTGGAGCACCTGATCCAAATCCTCAAACCAGTCAGAATTCTCTTGTTAGAGACAATTTAAAACCAGCAGGATACAAGAAATCAAAAGCAGCATTGCATTTTCAAGGCAAGTTCAGGTATTAGATACCTAGAAATTCAAAAGCAACATTCCAAAACACAATTATGCTACCAGACACACAATGTCAGGTGAGATTTGGTGTGTTCCAAAGCTCTAGTTTATACTCTGTATGGTGATGCTGCGGATTATACAGAGGATGAATAAATAAGGGAAATTGGTTTTACTTGAAAGCAATGCATTTTGTTACTAGAGCTTTTTACTATACCAAGTTTTGTGCAGTATATCAATGAGACCCAGTATGCAGAAACATAAAAGGCAGTTCTGACAGCTGAGTCCAAGTATCCATTATTTATGGCATCTTTATTGTCACGCTCCATGGCAATATGCAAGTCCCAGGTGAACTTCTGCTTGACCCAGTTCTGCTTTCTGGAAGATACCAGTGTAAGTGCAGTGACTGTGCTACCAAAACATTTAGCAATCTATTGCTGGCTGTAAGACTCAGTCACTCAAAATGAATTCTTTCATCTTTTATATTTTAAAATATAAACTGCACTTAACAAATGCATTCAAGGTAAGAACCTGACCTGGGTACACAAACAGTACAGAAAAACAAGAGAAAAAACACATTTTGTGCACATTCCTGACAAAATTATCAGTGAAAGTTAACTGTTACATAAGTCCAAACATATTCACACAGCGTATTACTCAGCAGAAAGATGGACTGGAAGCCATTCCTCTCTCTCAAAGCAGTTAAACACTGAAAAAGAAGTTATGTTAAAGGACTAGGCTTTATAATGTCAGATACTGAAAGAACTCAACTGTAAAAGCTGGATCTGTGGAAACCCCCACACACCAGAGAGAGAATTCCAATTTCTCCTTTGTACACTCAGGGCATTCCAGACTGAGGCCACTGGACAAACCAAGAACTGGGAAATCATTCTGCAATCCAGGAGTCCTCCTGCAGCAGTGCCCGGGCACGATGGGCACCGGCACTGGGTGAGTACAGAAAACCCTGGGTGTCTTCACCATGGCACAACCTGCAGCAGTGCTGGCAGCAGCCCCATTTGCTGCATGCAATCCTCAGCACTACAGAAAGCTGGCAAAACCTCAGCATGGCCAGTTTCTGTGCAACAGTGGAACTACAGACTTGTGTCTTCTCAGTGCCCCAGCAAAGGGGCTTATTCTAGGTAAGTCTGCATTCAGGTAGCACTTGGATCTCTCTTCCCAGCCTCACTCACAGACATCCACAGGGCTGAATGTAATTTTGTAAGGGTTAAACTTGTTAATTTGCCCTCATTAGACAAAACAGCAAAGGGGAGGGAAATAAGTCTATAAAAAGAGATCAGATTCCATTTGTGGGCCTGCTGTAGCAGGACTTTCTCTACAGAACAAAGCAGTCCAAGATTTACTACTTCTGACAGGGCATCTGTGATGATTTCAGGACTCCAAACAAGTGGGATGCCAAGGCTCACTTTCAGCAGCCTCTTGCCACTAACTGGGACATAACAAACAACTCAAAAGTACAAAGACTGTAAGGTGGGAAATGTGGACATGAAATACAAAAACTTTGCTCATAAATCAAAACAGACAAAAGACTGATTCTCCAAACCTCCATTACTGATACTCTATTCAATTTTCCTTAGAATGAGTTATATTTCTGGGAATAACACTAAGAAGCTTTAGCTAATACACAGCATCAATATGGGTCATATGCAGAACTTTGTGCTGTTTGGCCCAGCAAATCACACAGTTTTAAGAGGTGCCTGTTCTCCCTCAGAGTATTTGTGCTTCAGGAGATTGGTCAAGTTCTGTGTAGGTTGTAGAACTTTTCCTTGTTTTTTTTTTTTTTTTCCCCGTTATTCTTTACCCATTTAATTTCCTTTCCAACATAAATGCAGACTGTACATAGTATCTGAAACACTATTACATCAAATCAATATAGAGAAAGATTACAGTCATTCTAACAAATACTCTTTTTCTTAAATATTGTAAAAATCTGTATCACTCTAGCAACTGTCTCACAGGGCCCCTCACTGAAGAACGAGATGAGGAGGCCTGCTTGTTCTAAAACTGCTTTCAGCTCAGCAGTTCAAGGTAAAAATACTCAAGCAAAATATTTCAGATGTTTCAGTGTGCCTAAAATGTTATCTTAAATTCTAGACTCATTTTCTTGTATGTTCACACATACTGCTGAAATTCAGGAACAAAGTATTTCAGATGCAATTCTTTCAAGTCCATTTACACAATGGTGCTCAACATCAAAAATTAAACATGCTGTCAACAATCTGTACAAAGGTAAAGGTGAAAAATATAATTTGATTACAAAAGAATTTAACACCATCTGTACACCACAGATAATGCTTTTCATAAGATAAATTTATCACCATCCTCATTCAATCACTCTGAGATGTTATCTCCCAATTTTTAAAGCATGTATTTTCTGTGTCCTTATATACAATTAGTGTTTTTATAGTATTTCCTACTTGACTGTGAACAGTTCAGGTATTGTACAATGACTCAAATGAGATGAATGAGGGGGAAGCTTATGCATGTTACTTGAATGAAAGATATTTCACTTGTCTAGCTCCAAAAGAGCCAAGAAAGGTAAGTGATAAAAGCACCAGCTTAGACTCTTTTGAACATAAATTCAGGCATTTTAATGTGTATCTCATTAAAGCTACATGAGTTTCCATGTAGATTATTCATACATATTATGGCACTTGGACTTTCCTAACAGGTATTTAGTTACCTAGGACATCTAGGCTAAAAAAGAAAACATCTGCTAAAATTAACCATTTCTGTAAGAAAACACTTCTGTCCTAACTTTCAAACCCCTTAATTTTCCTGAAAGTTGCACCAAAATACAACTGTTGATATTTCACATTCTTTGAGTAAGTTGCCTGTGACAAGGAAGTCACATTAACCTGTGAGTTTCCATCCCTAGTGATTTGTGAGCACAAAGAAAGGCCACCTTCTCAACAAACCAAGTTGCCTCCTGCTCCTTCGTAATTACAATATGCAGTACAGTTACTGGTGGATCTGTTTTTTGGTTGGACTGAAGTCTTAGCAGTAATTACCCATTTTGTCAGTCCAAATTTAACCCAAGGCAGTTTACACTGGCAGCCTTTTCTCCATGTAAGGCATTATTCTGACATCTGCTGGCCTGCTATCCAACCACAGGTCAAAATATACTGCATTTGTTATTCAAAAGGAGTATATACATTAACCCAAAGATAAGAACAATTTAGTGAACATAAATGACACACATTTAAACCAGGCCCACGTATTTTCATATAAATCTTACAACTCTACCAGTATTTTGGTAGGTTTCTATTGCTTTCTTAACTCATCCAAACTGCTGTATAGTACAAGGCTTTAATACAAGCAGCTTTGGGAAAGAAAATTATATTTAGAAGGGAAAAAAAGTTGTGACAAGTGAAAACAAAAAAACCAAAAAAACCAAAAAAACCCAAGAAGCTGTTTTTTAAAAAAAACTTTACTTGTAAAATTAAGCAGCATGCTACTTTGTGATTTATATTTGAATTTAAAAAGACTAATTAGACCGAAATAAAGACAAAAACCAAAAAATGGCAAGTCTATAAATAATGAAAATTTTGATTTCACTAGACTTCAATGAAAAACATTTGGTAATTAAATACTTGCTACTGTTCGTTACATTGATGAACTTTATTAGGGTTAAAACTATAACAAAGTTCATCCTAAAACTTTTCGCAATGCAAAATTATTTTCACTCGAGGAGTGTCTCAACTTGAATGCTAAGAATTACAAGCAATCTTCTGGAGCAGACACATTCATAAAACTTTATACATCTTTTGGAACTAAGATATTTATACTACTAAAATCAAACATGCATCACTTCCCATACATTCTGGTATCATGATTTATATTACATTATGTAACACCATTCTTCTAAACAGCAGCAGTTTATCATACGTTTGCTCCATTTTCTTTGGATTTCTGATCTTTATCTTCGTTCTTCACAATGTCCTTCAAAAGGAAAAAGGGAGAGGATGAGAGGAATTGCAGAAGCTGTATTTCTCATGCAAACTGTAAAGCAGCATGAGACACAGATACTGTTTGTATCTTAAGGATACTACATGAACTGGTATCCTACTCAGTTTAGTCATAACCAGTTCCAGGATCTTCCTGAAAAACTGAGGGGTAGAAATGCTCTGGAGCTTCTGGGTTTTGCTTAAAACTCATTTTACTGAGATACCCCCACATACTGAAATAGTTGAATTCTGCCTTGAAAAAGCACTCTTGACCAGTCAAACAGAGGAGCAGACTTGGACTGCTGGAGAGGGACAAGATCAGGACAGGAGAACATTCAGACAGTTTGAGATCTACATGAAAATTTATACCTTTTTAAAAACACTGAAGTCAGGAACATATGTTGCAGGTTAAGAAAAAAATGTATTTAATTGGTTACCTTTAAATATTCAATCAAACATTAAGCTTCTTCTCTATATATGTTAAGATACTCCTGCCCTGAATTCATGTCAAAATTGTTTTTATACTGCAGTGTTTGTTTCAATAATTAGTCTACAGAATTTTGCCTACAATAATAAAAAATGGAATTAAACAATTCTAACCTGTTTGAGAACACTCTGTATGTCATCCATAACAGTAGCTAAATTTTTGATTGTCTTATTCAGCTGACCCTCGAATTGCAATTTTTTATCATCTGAGGTCTTCAAATTTTCTTGCAGTTGGCCAAGGTCCTTTTTTACTTCTTTTAGCTCCGCAGATAGACTTTTGTTAGAATTCTCCAGTTGTAGTATGGTTTTCTCATCCTCATCTTAGGAAGGGAAGAAATAAAAACGTCAAGTCATTTCCAATGCTGTGTACTTTGCATCTCAATATTCTGCTTGTGTGCAACACCGTAATACCAGTTTTTAAAGAACATAAAAACTGCATTGAATGACCATTTTCTGACTACATTTAAAGTCTTGTAACTCAACTTGAATAAACTTCAGACCACAAATCTTTCCCAAATTGATTTCTCTACTTAAGAAGTCTCAGTGCTTTGCACCCCTGTAAGCACTGCCTTCCAAGTAACATCCCACCTGTTTTTTCTTCTAGTAGCTGCAGCTTTTGCTCGATCTCTGCCCGCACCCTTTCACTCTTCTCCAGCTTCTGCAGGAGGCTGCCCACATCCACCATGGCTCCGTTGTACACGATGAGCCCCACGTTCTCCTCCACGGCCTTGCACTCCTGCTTCACTGCGGGCGACGGCAGCAGCAGCCGGTTCCCTGCAGCGGGGAACGAGCACAGTGTCACCCTGGAGCAACCTCAGACACAAGTGTGCTCTTCTATCCTTAATAACCACAGCATCATCCTGGAGAGCAACCTCACACACTGCTCAGGAGAACAAATACAGACCTCAAGTTTGCTGGTCTATCCCTCACACTTCTCTCCTTCTCCTGACCCCAATTCTCCCCCCTGCCAAAAAGCAGCGTTCTCTTTCAAGACATCATTCTCTGCCTCTTTCCTGCAGGAATTTGTCTTCAAAATTCAGGCTCCATTCTACTACCTGTAGCTCTGAGTCTCCTGACTTCAAAACTACTAACATGGAATGATATTCATCAATATTGAACATTAACCTCTGTCCTCTTCCCTATTCCAAATTATTAAGGATTTATCCTAGAGTTGCAACATTATGTGTTGGAAACACGAAAAACCTGTTACTTTTGAACTGCCAAAGATTTACTTTTCCAAACTGGCTCAATTAGTTTCTGCAAGAAATCAAGTACCTCAGAACTCTCATTATCACACAGAAATAACTCTCTGGAAGTTTGTGGGGAAAAAAAAATAAAAATAAAAATACCACCTAACAACTTTTCCTGAAGCTCTTCAGACTCCTCTTGGTTTTCTTCATCTTTAGAAGTGTCTGTTAGTCTTCTGTAAAAACAAGATTCTCGAAGCACTACTTTATTAAGCAGCTTCTTGACCTACAACACATGGAAAGAAATATGGTGTCATTTAATACCCAGACATCCTGTTACCTAAACAAGAATAGTTTAGCTTGGAAAACTTAAAAGAAATTTCATAGCTTTTTGAATTTTAACATACTGGGGCTTAAAATGCAAACAAACTAGGAAAAGAATAAATACAATTTAGAAACAAAAGCTACATATACATTATGGGCATATTGTAAACTGCCAACTTCACCTTTTCACCCCCAGTCCATTTACAAAAGATTAAACTCTTATTTCATTGCAAATATGAAGTGGCTGCATAAAAATAAGAGATCAGGTATGTTAGCAAAGCCTTTAGAAACTAAATTACATTTCTCCCACTTAGAACAGTCCTGTAACATCTGGAAAGTTTTTAGTAGTATACAAGACCTGAGCACGTGACAGGTGAAGTCCAAGAGTGTACAGGATCTCCTCCATGTCCTTCTCCAGAAGGTATCCACAATGACTTTGATCAAAATAAACAAAAGCCATCAGGAGATCCCTGTTAACAGTTACCATCTGCGTCTTGTCTTTCTCCTAGAGAAAATTCATTATGGGATCATTAGGGAGTTAAAACATCATTCCAAAAATATACCAACTTTTACTTTAAGTCAAGTAATTAATATTACTATCAATTACCTACTTAGATTACGTTAAGACTAATTTAAGCTATATATGAAAAGGAATCTTTTAGGATTTAGAAGAAATACATCACAATGGACAGTAACAGCGGGTAGACACAATTTCCTTTTGTTCATGCTAGCATGTAAAAAATGGCCACAGAATTAATCTAATTATAAAATAGGAAACATCCCTTCTGCCCTCAATCATTTACTTAACAGCTGTTTTCAAAGGGAAAACAGGTCTTCTAATAAAAATAAAGCTAAGCTTTATTCTAACAAGGTCTATGCAGTCATTAAGAAAGGTGTTAATTACTTTATCTTTAGATGCCCTCTCTTTACAGTGCTTATTTCCTTCTTTTCTGTCCTCCCGTTTGTTCATTTCCTCTTCGTCCCGGTCTGCAAAACAGAAAGAAAATTCAACATACCCGCAGCAAACGATTATATAACCATTACCAGAGCACATGTTGCCACTATAAAAGTCCACATAAACCCCCAAACATCTGCAATATACTTCCCTGAAAAATAATAAAAAACCACATTGAAGTGAGCCCTGTTAAGTTCTGATTTTTCTCTAGCCTTATTTTAACACAATCCATTTATAATTTTTTCCCTGTGTTTCACACGCAGGACAGAAGAGCTGAAACAAATGCTAACTAGGCCAAAATGAGTGCTGCCAACATCTCCCATCTATTTAAGTGGTGTGCAGGAAATTACCACAATTCTCCCTAATGAAGCTTGACAGAGTCTGCACTCAGCTTTGCTTATTCCTACTCAAATTCAGTATTATTTACTCTCAAATACTTCATATAATAAAACTCATACACACTATGTAATTAAAACCACGTGTTTATACTCATGTTGAGTGAGAGATTACTCTTCCTATGACTTAGATTCTCCAAGAAGTTACAGATCACATCACTTATTAGATGTGAATTACAAATGGCAGGTTTTTTGTCTAAAGGTAGACAGCACAGTAAAACTAGACTGAAAGAGAAAAAGGGATGAGACAGCTGCTGGGATAGATTATGGCATGCAGCTCTGTACCTTCCGTGCAAGTCTTGGGTCAGAGAATCATGTGCCAAGTTCAGTTTTAAGCTCACCTTCCTTGTGAGGAAAACTTGGGAAAAACTATGTATTACATCACTTGGTTAATTTCACCAACCCTTTTCTGAGAACCAATTGCTTTCTCCTGCATCTCCATGGCTTGCTGGGTTTTCTCAGCAGCTCTTGACTGGGAATGGCACAAGGACACATTCTGGGAAGCAGCAGCACTTGTACAGAACAGACAAGCCCAGGCCACTCTTACAGACAAATTATAAGCAAATAGGAGTTATTCTGGAAACCACAGATTAGCATCAGCTTTTTAAGCTGGTGCAGTACTCTGCCAAAAATACAACTGAAGATGCTTGGACTGCAGTATCCACACAGTTCAAACCCACATGTCTAGCAAAACCTCTGCAGAAAGGCAACTATCCCCAAGTGCAAACCAAAAAGATGTTTTACACCTTCCTGAATCCCTGAGCAGGGGGAGAGCTGCTGCCACTGCCTGCAGAGTCCTACAGACCCTTCCCCTATTTCTTCAGGCTAACACAACTCCACTCAAACAAAAACCAACTTGTGACATGGGCTGAAGAGCAGCCACACTACATTGTGTCCTAGCTAAAACCAAGATGGCATTCCAGAACTGAGGAGTAGGAAGTTAGGCATGTAAAAGTGGCTTGGTTTTTCAGAGGTGCTGAATACTCACATCTCCTACTGACTTCAATGGGAGTTGCGAGTGGTCTGCATTCTGAAAAAAATAAAACCACCTCTATATGCATGCCTTGCTTAGAGCACCACAGCTAGTTCACATTCACTACGTTCATGCTGTGCCTGGCATAAAGGTACTTACATTTGACATAGAACTGGTCAAAATTACTAAAATAAAATTAGTTTAATAATGCAATTTTAAGTTGTCTAGTTCCAGTGCATTCTCCAGCTTGAAAGAACATAATCAGAGATGATAAAAAAATTTGTTAAAGGTCACAAAATTCATAGTTCAAGATACCTTCATCTTCATCTTCAGCCTCTTCTGCCTCCATTGGATCGTATTCTTCTTGATTATTGTCCTCTTCCGTTTCTTCTTCATCTTTAGAATCATCTTTCCTTTTATCTTCCCTCTGTAACAAAAATTCCTGAATATTTATCTAGTCAGAACCAAAACCCAGCAAAATAAAAACCCTATTACCAGTCAAAATTTGCCTACATTTATGCTTAGTCACCTAAGAACAGATACAAATTTATATGATACAGCTGAATGTTAATACTCCCAATACACCTGTAAAAATTTTAACTACTGAATATAATTGAAGCATTTAAATAGATCAAAAAGTCAAATCAATTAACTAACATTACAAGAGCTGAGTTTCTGAAAGCAGTAATGTAAAATAGAAACAGAAACACTTTAATATTGATCCAGACAGACTAGACTGCATATGAACTAACTGCAGACCTTCTTTTCATCTCTCTCTTCTTTTTTATCTTTATCGTCTCCAGATTTTCTTCTTTTAGGTTTTGGATCATCAGTTTCATCGTCTTTTTCTTCTTTTTTTTCTTTTCTCTCATCTTTTTTGCTTTTTTTGTCCTTTTTGTCCTCTCTCTCTGGGAGAGAAATCAGTGCTTTATAAATTCTGACACCAAAATCTCTCTGAAGCATTTCATTGAAGAGTTCTGCAAACAATGATACCTGCACATAAAGAAAAAGAAAAGAGAAGTGACAAAAAGTTTTAAAACATGTATTAAAAATTTATATAGTCATGATAAAATAGCAATGACACGCAGTTTTAGCAATTTACACCGTATCAGAATTTTATGAAGTGTCAGATTTCTTACATTCTGCTTTGAACATGCTTAAACAACTTTACAAATTCCATTGAATACCTGAAAACCTGTGTATTCCTCTGGATACCGTGCAGTGAGTACATTCCTACCATGTACCAAAGCCTGGGCAATTCAGAAATTCTCACACGACCATTAGAAAGAAACAGGAACAGCCAACTGTGAGCAGCACCCAGTGTTACCTCGAAGGAATGCTCTTTGTTATCCTCCAGCCTGTAATCCAGCAGGACGCTCAGAGACATGATGCTGCAGTCAAACTTGCCGCTCTTGGCTGCCCAGTTGGGGTGCACGATGATGGCCGGCTCATCCGGCAGGATGTAGCGCCGCTCCCGCCGCTGACGCTCCAGCTCCTCCTGCCGTTTTCTTTCCTCCTCCTAAAAAGGGATCAAAAACCAACATGGAGCAGACTCCAAAGCTGATGTTTCAGCCTCTACCTTAGTTTTTGGGACTCGCCGCTTTCCTGAGCAAAGGAAAGCCTAAGCTGCTGAAAGCAACGCACAGCGAGCTGTTTACTCCTTCCAAAGGAAGAGAAAGGCTTCATACCTCACCTCTCCAAAGACACCCAGCTCTACCAGTTACCAGATGACAATTTGTCTGACTCTTGATTATGGAAATGCAAATTCTATAGATATATCTGATGGAAATGAAACAAAGGGTTACAAAATGTAAAATTCCACCATCTTACTGACTGCCGAGACAAATACTGAAGTCTACAAAAAAAGTCAAGGCAGAGCTTGTGCTTCATAAAAAGCCAGCACAATCACAGCTCCCCTTCACTCCTAAAGAAAGCTGTGGCAAGAAACCCAAGCTAGCTGAATGCCATCCAAGCTGTGGGAGAAGGCACAGCAGCTGACAGAATTAGCAA